CTACCGTGGCCTACAAGTTCGGCTGTGATTTCCCCTGTACATACTTGCCACCTTCAATGACCCCGTGATTTATTGATTTGTTCCTATTATCTGTCGTGTATTAGCCTGATGCGAACCACCGAAAACAAGCTTGTTCGCCTAACTGTCTTTTACTTCTGGTGTCATCTCAGGGGTTATTTTCTCAGTTGAAACAATCCAAGGATCCCACTGTGTTGACAGAACTTAATCAGTACGTTAGATTCAACACAAGACTTGCTGTAGCGAAGGCAACGGTGCAGTTTTTGGAGGAATGCGTTTTGCGTAGTGAATATTCCAAACAGTTTTGGAAGATTCGCAGACGTAATGGAGTTAAGCCAACAAGCACTGCTTTGAAGCGTCATACTCTCAACAAGCGAGACACGGTATATTCCCCAAATGATGAGCTTGACCACAAGCGGTGTAGCTACTCCGACGCTCTGAGTGAATTGGACGATGAGGAATACAAACAGTTCGAATCATTCGTTCAGCGAATTATGGTTCGGCAAGTGGAAGTGCGAATAGACTCATTACGGCGACAGATCGCTTCAATAAGGCAGAGTAATTCGTTTCCACCTGACCCTGAGAAGTACGTGCACAATATTTCCTCTTTGTAATTAGATAGAACACAAATGGAGGTCCTATCACTGGGCCCGAAATTCTGTTACCCCCGAGGTAATGTACAACAGTTAGACTTGGAAGTCCAATTTGAAAATCACAAGTTTTTAACTTAACACCATCGTCATCATTAGCAGCTGTACAGTACAAATCCACATTGGTAAACACAGCTACCAGTACCTGAGGTACAAACCGACCATCAAATATCTTCTAAAGAACAGGCATTTGGACGCTCTGAAGGAACTCAAAAAAACGAGAATGTTTTGTTATCTAGACCGGACAAAGAAGCCGGGATTGTATTGATGAACAAGTCAGATTATATTGATAAGATGAACACCATCCTAAGAGACGCATCGAAATTCCGAAAAGTGCAAAACGAGAAAGACAGGACGCCGGCAATTGAGAAGACCATGACAACACTTTTGCTGCGTTTGTGACAAAATAACATCGTAGACTCTGACACTTTTGAATACGCCAGACCTAATGGAACCGTGATTCGGAGGCTTTATGGCTTACCTAAGATCCACAAGCAAGGTGTACCGTTGAGACCGATACTGGACATGTACAACTCTCCCTATCATCTGACTGCTAAAGTGGCTTGTCAAACGCCTCGAGCCGGTCAGGTACAACCTCCGGGACACTTTCGAATTTCTTGACTCGGTGCAACAACTCAATCTAGCTGGACAAGAAATGTTCTCACTAGATGTGACGCCACTTTTCACCAACGTCCCGTTAGAAGTGACCATTGACTATCTCTGCGAGTTTATCCAATTGCACAGCAACAATATCGGTATTCCAAATGACTGTCTAACGCAAGTTATATTGGCGTGCACTAAGAACATTCAATTTCAGTTCAATGAGATGTTTTACAGACAAATAGACGGGGTAGCTATGGGTTCACCATTAGGACCGCTACTCGCCGATGTCTTCATGAGTAAGTTGGAGAAAACTCAACTAAACGAATGCATCAATAACTTGGCTTATTACGGTCGATACGTAGATTTCGTGTCGCGGATGGTCGAGTATGTATCGAAGATCTTCTAGCCCACTTCAACGCTGCACATAACAACATAGTGTTCACCATAGAACTTGAAAGTAACAACTCCTTGTCATTCTTAGATGTCCACATCACCAGGATATCAGACGGGACAGTACAAAGGAGAGCACAGAGAAAGACAACTTGGACAGGCCAGGATACCCATTTCGCCAGTCTTGTTCCAATGAGTCAAAGACGCAACCTTGTCCGTTGTCTAACGGAAAGATATGGAAAATACGCTGTCAGATGAATTGAGTTTCATTCGAAGCGTTCTCGAACAAAATGGTTATCCGAACAAATTCGTAAGGAGACACATGGAGCCACGAGCACCAGAAGTCTAACCAATCACCGCAGAAAAGTGCTTAATCTACTTATCACTGCATTTCAAGGGTGATGTCATAGCGGAACGAACTACTCGAAGGCTCTGCAATGCAACAGCGAGAACCTAGTTTGCAGCTGACCTCCGTGTCAGCTTCACTTCTACGCCAGTCGTGAGTCAGCATCTCAAGGACAGATTACCGAGGTCGAATATTTCCTTCTGGGTGTACCATTTTTCTTGCTCGTGTCGAGCAAGTTATATTGGAAAGACGACCAGGAGACTGTCTGAGAGAGTCCGAGAACATTGCCCGGCCTGGCTCTACACTGGTGTCAGTAGTCAGCGCGGTGCTGGAGCATTTGGCCGACACAAATCACCAAGTGAATGTGCGAGAGGCCTTCCGGCCTATCTACAAGATATTTGGACGCCACACGCGAGCCCTCCGATGTCGCCTACTGGTCACAGCGGAAGCAATCGCTATTCGGCTCCATAACCCCGACTTATGTGTTCAAAAGAAGTTTATACAGCCTCTACAGCTGCCATGGCCTCAAGCTTCCCCATGTTACGACACCACGCTTGACCCTTCCACTAATGATGCCCAAGCCAGTGTCGTCACTTGATCGCATTGACCGGTCGATTCACTTCATTGATTCATCGTATTTAAATACACTGTATTTGTTTTATTCCTATCATCTGTGGTGTATTGGCCTGATGCGAACCACCGAAAACAAGCATGTTCGCCTAACTGTCTTTTACTTCTGATGTCATCTCAGGGATTATTTTCTCAGTTGATTTGTTCCAGTTGAAATTAAATATTCTGTTCAGTACGCAGTCCAATCCGGCATACAACTTTCTCGTCATCATGTAATGTTTGAGTCTGATGACAATTACCGAAAAGAATTCTTTACTCAGATGCTGCCTCCCTTGATTCATTCTGATAAATGGGAATTTTTGGATTGCTGAGGATCAGCATTCCCCGTGATTCGGTCAACGTGAGAGACTGAGACTGAGACTGTATTTAAGAGCAAGTAGAAAGGTTTCTGTACAACTCTATCGAATTACGAAAAATCAAAATTTACTTGTGAATTATCAGCAGTTGTGTCTGGTCCGTCAATCGTTTATCCGTGTTCGGTTAGAAATTTGTACTAGCGTTATTATTTCTGGACATACAATGACTTCTTTTGGCACTGTATGTGCATCGTTTCACAAAAGCACAGGTTTCCAAAATAATCGTCGATACGGGTTTTAAAACACTTCACAGAATCGGCCTCTATTAATCCTTCTGGTAGTGTATTCCATAAGTTTACGATTCTTCGTTCGATACAAAGCTGATGTGATACTTTGTTCATGCTGGGGACCCTGAGTTTGTAACGATGTCCTCGGGTGTTACAGGGTTCTCGCAGGTGAAATATTGGCCGCAGTATGGGGAAGTGATTCAAGTGTAGTACTCGATGGGTCATAATAAGATCACTTCTTACTCGGCGATAGGATAGTGTGTAGAGTCCGAGCTTTTCACAACGTTTTTCATATGGAAGCTTTCGTAGACTTGGTATCATTCCAGTTGCGATATGCTGTATTTTCTCCAGTTTTTCAGTTTCCCATTGGGCTATCGGATGGTAAGCTGGGGCACCGTATTCAAGGATTGGTATAATGAGCGAGGTGAATAGACGAGGGACGGTTTCTTCGGACCATGTGGAGAAACTGCGTCGTAACGCCCAGAGCATACGAAGTCCCGCACGGTACAATTTCTCTGTATTTTCTAGTGATCTTAAATCATGTCGTGAGAGCACTCCTAAGTCTCTGACAGATGTGCTGGGATGGAGCAACTGGCCGCCCAAGGTGTATGATCGAGTGGCTGGACGTCTGGTGATACTGATGAACTCCGACTTGCTTGCGTTAAGAGGGAGTTGCATTTCAGTGGACCACGTTGACAGTCGCTCTAAGTCATGCTGGAGGCGAGCGCAGTCGTCCTGGTTTTCAACGATCCTCCAGATTTTCAAATCATCTGCAAACAGGAGAAAAGTGCAGAATTCAAACGCAGAAGAGTAGAAATTAGAAGAGTCGCGAGTGTTTCAGATGCCATAGTTTGACTTCAGAGACTACGCTTGATCTGAGTAACTAGCAGAGAATCGCATATGTCTATCGGTCGCAAGTAGGAGCTGTACAAATCGTCCAGCTGACCGGAAACCAAAGTGTTCATATAGGTAATGTTTAAACGCTCACTGAGTGGACGAGATTCAAGACCATGATTCAACCGTTGACATACATGGGAGGTGATCGAGCGTCAATCAACCCGACCAGCGAATGAAACAGCACGATTGTAGCAGAGAATTTTTTCAACAGTACGGCGAGCATCAGCATTGAGAAAGTGACGATAACTTGGTGAGTTGAGCTAAAGGGTGCAGTGTGAATATTGAAGTGAGTAAGAAACCCGACTGCATTAATTCAGACAGAACTATGCAAGTAAGAAAAATTGAGGGTTTTTGCATACGAAAACAAACTGCATATACAGAAAGGATTGTGAAACTTTTACAACGCGTAGCTGAGCATCACATCCTGCTTGGCCAGTTCCAGAAGCATGGGATCATCGAAGAATTTGTTGATACTGACGTCTTCGTTGAGGCCCTAAAAACAAAGCAATCGGTTAGTCTGCAGGTAACTCTGTGAGGAACACTTGATGATGAGGATAAGCAATCGCTTGGTATAAAGTTCAGCAACAAAAATGTGTCAGCTGTACGCTGTAACGGCGCTTCGCTGTTGTGCGACCACCGCCAGTCGCACACGGGATGAGTAAACCGCGAGGACGCCCACCCTTACGCGGATTCGAACCTGCGCCGCAAGATTACGAGGCAAGCTCGTTACCTATAGGATACGGGCGGTAGGCGGGATAAAACAGAAAGTAAACAAACAACCATCACGGCTTGTAGACGACGAACAAAAAACAAGTGGGTTTTCAAAGGTAGTAACAAGGAATTTATGCAAATTTTGCTAGGAACGGCTAATTAGTGAAGCGCAACTAAGTGAAGGAGATCAAGGCATCAGTAGTACGCCGGTATGCAGCACTGACACTTTGCTGTAGCGTAACCACCACCAGTCGCATGTGGGCTAAGCATATTGCGAGGGTCACCCGGTTCCTACGCAGGCTCGAACCGGCGCCCTAGGATTACAAGGCGGGCTGGTGTTTCTTAAGGCTACGTGCCAGTAAAGAATCAGACGAACAAGCAAGGCAAAATCAACGGGGAAAAGGCCTAGAGTACAGGTACCTCAAACCAAGCCAAGCTAAAAGACTGAAGGCACGTCTTCCCCAATGAACAGCAATTGCTGTACGTGGCAGTATAAATTCCTTTTTCCCATGCTAGGATATATGCAAGGTGGCGACTATCTGGTTAGAACATTAACTGCAGTCATACAAACCGAACGAGTTAATTGGAGTGCAGCGAGGATCTGGAAAAAATAAAAGTCACATCAACTGCATGATTCATTCTATAAATAGACCGAAGCCTTAACTTTCGTAACAGATATCGCCGAGTTCACAACCAAATAGCGGGCGCTCGTCTGCAAGACAGGCGAAAAAGTGCTCTCCTAACGCTTAAAGCAGTTTATTAAAATGGAATACGACTACAGCAGTTCTAGCAAGTGAACTGCCATCGTTCACACGCTCCCAGCTGTCGGCAATTCCAATGCGTCGGGAGGGGGCGGCAATATCAAGGTGTACTATATGAGCAGGAAGTCACATGAGGTAGTTACATCAAGAAAGAGTGTGGAGGATCCTAGATTCAGAATAGTCAAGTCAGTTAGGTATAACCAATGAAATATGCATAGAAGTTCATAGAAGACAATATTCTAGCCTAAGGTTTGAAGAAGTTTTGATATTTTTTATTCAAACCTTACCATATTCTAAACATTTTCCATTTCATTTATATAGATCGCTCCTTGAGGCCGTTCAAGCCGCATCGATCGATCGGTAGTTTAATGGTAGCTCATGAGTCGAAGGGCCAGTACCATGCACACCACAGACGCAGCTCCTGTAATGAGGCGACGTGTCTAATCCAGTTGATCGTGCGCCATCGGTCCTAAGAGATGGACGCGAATGAGTCGCACTTAGTCTATCTGCACTCTTCAATACCACAAGGAACAACAGAGCCAGTAACCTGAGGGCTATAAGTCATCTGCAATCGAGTTCATGTGAAAAATACTCATGAAACATGGTAGTAGAACTGATCACGCATGGAGTGGTTACTGGTCCCCAGGACATCCGCGGAAGACCACACCAACACGATAGAGGGTGTACCGACCACTTATTCGCACCTCAAGAGTCAGATGAATGCCATCGATTTCATCGACCAACCCTTACAGCCTGCAGTGGTCTGAAGGTGGATAGATCGCCTTCACTTGGTGCATGGAACATACTTGAGCTGCTTTCAACTACTAAGTTGTTGTGCTGCAATAGTGCCCAGAAGAATCTAAATTAATCTCACAACCAGTAGGATATCTCATTTAACCTTCCACCATAACCATGAAACTGAATTGATTTGCATTTAAGTCTGCCCCCTCCCCTCCCCCAAATGTAGGACCAAACCCCAGTTGAACGACTTCTAGCTGATCCATCCCAAAGACCAGTGCAGGAGGTGGGCCCTGCCAAAAGCTTTACACTTCTGTGGTTCAAAGCATAGCCCGAAACGGTTGACGGCCAGTGCAAATCTGTCTAGAGCCGCTTGGCACGGCAATGTCGACAGCATACTTTAAGTCAAGAAGTTGCTTACCTGGCAGCAGCTCCACACCTAAGTCGTGTCCTGTGAACGCAATCTTCATGACTTGGTCAATAGCGAAGTTGAAGAGGAAAGGTGACAGTCCGCATCCTTGTCTTACATCGATAAAGATATTGAAGGGCGACGACTGCATACGGTAAGCCCTCACGCTGCTCGAGCTACGCGCGTAAACCGCTCGGATAATATATACGTAGTTCTCGGGCACAGCTTTCGTTAGCAGACAGTTCCAAAGAGCACATCGATCCACCGAATTAAAGGTGCCTTTGATGTCGAGGAACACGACAACGGTGGGCCGCCAATATATGTAACGGTACTCCAACAACTGACGCAAAGTGGACATGTGGTCGATGCAGCTCCGACCTCGACGAAACCCGGCTTGTACCTCACGAGTGCCAGTCGGTCTATGAAGGATTGCAGAGTCAAGCAATTTGGAAGCGAGATGGATCAGACTTGTTCCTCTATGGTTGCCGCATTCCGAACGCGAACCTCCTTTGAAGAACGGGACGATAATGGAGCGGCTCCAGTCGGTTGGGACAGTTTTCCGCCCCTACAGGCTCATTAGTAATTCGTGCACATCATCTACAAGAGCAGGGCCCCCAAATTTGGAGAAAGATGGAGGAAGGTCATCTGGTCCAGCGGCTTTACTCAAATGCAACAATTCGATCTCATGTTCGAGTTCCGAGTGAGGGGATCCAAAATGACAGTCCAGGGAGCAGGGTGATCAATGGCCGGTGAGGAATTTAACTATTCCGGCCAATTAAACTGTATTCAAAATGTTTAACCTAACGCTTTAAGCGTTTTGACAAGTTGTGGATAAATAAATACATTCACTAACACCAGGTCGCCTGCTGCCGGTTTCCCGGGTCAGACGGAATAAATTTCGACGGTTACGAGGGACAGCGGCCACTGCCATCGCTGACGCACGATGGGACCACCAAGATTCGCGATCTCTTTAGGCTAGCACGTAGTTTTGCCCAAAGGTTATCGCGAGTCTCATTGTGTTCGCTTCCAACCAGAATGTGCCGGCGAAAAAACCCAATGTCCATGTTGTCTATTAAACTTACCAAATAAGAAGTTGACTGCTACTAGTAAGGTCAAGTGAACACGCAACCAGTGACCTTCAACTCTACTCAGTGAGTGTTTACTCAGCCCGGATGTTAGTGTATTTCGATACGCATTCAGAACATCTGACTTCGCCAGTTGGCTGGTGTCTGTAAGCCCACAGCGCCGTCGCGGGCGCCCACTAAAACGCACCCGCAGATCAGCACATAGAAGTGCATGGTCGGTGTCCACACATGTGCCCCTAATCAAGTGACAGTTTTGGACGCAGCCTCTCCAGCGGTAACTAATCGCGAAGTGGTCGATTTGCGTGTACGGCTGGTGGGCACCATGACAGCTTCCGACGGGTGCTGTGTCAGAAAGAAGTGCTCGTAAGAAATAAGCGAGCACCATCATAAAAAAGAAGTAACTGCTCACAGTTATTATTACGGAAGCCTACACCATATTGGCAGCCCAGATGCAGCTCAGCAGTGGACAATTTTTCAACTTGAGCGTTCAGATCCCCAGCCAGCACTACAGTGTCCGTGCTTCTTTCCGTGGCAAAGGAGCTCGTTCAATTGGCGACAGAAGTCGTCTGTCACCGAGTCATCGCTACAGTTTGTGGAGGCGTAGGCAGCGATGACAAACAGATACCTATTAGTCCATTGTGATTTCGAAGCTTTGAACGATCCAGATAGTGGGACCGCACACATCCGGCCACTGATTGGGATCCAATCAACCAGAGCAACTTCAGCCCGGGAAATCAGGTCAAAACCAACGCCGGCTTGGCCGGTACTTGAAGCTGCATCGTCTCCGGATAGGCGCAATGAAAAAGCACTGCTAGTGTCTCTTGTATGGGATCGCAGAGTGAGGACAGAGCACGGGTCTTACAGGCCGGCTTCCGATAGGCAGCAGATATCCATTGGGAGGGTCTCTAATGTCCGGACAATTGATGCCTGGTGACCGATCTGAAGCAATGTGCGAACATTGAGGTATGCCAGTCTGAAGGAGGATCGAGGGCTCCAAATGGAAGCCGATGAACTGGAATGGGCTGCTTGGTTAGACGTGGGCTTGTCTATAGGGCAAGAGCGATGTTCCGGTTTGCATGTGAGTAGAAACTAGAAGATAAATGCCTATCAAAGCATGGTCGGGTAAGGCCAAGGATTGGGGGAGGGCGAAAAAGGGGGTGATAATAGTAAAGTTGGAACGGGACGATAAGGGTGGAAAAGCGTAAGAGAGGGAATGAGAAGACAGGAAGACTTGATCAGTAGCATCCAAAGCCCTATCCACCCTGCTAGATGCTGCAGATAGGGCGCCCTTGATTACCCTCTGCGGCGGCCAGTGCATCAGGAAATTGTTTAGGGAAAGACTCATAGTACTGCGCGGGCAAAATAATCATATTGTTCAGGCATAGACAGGAGAACGGTTAGGGTTCCCAACCAAAGCCTTTGGTTCAAAAAGTTGACCACAAGGCAGCTTTGGCACTAGACTACAGAGAGTCTGTTATACGGAGTAAGGAGCCACTTTCACTCCAACCCCCAACCTGGAGGGCCTGGAGATGGAGTTTGTCAGGTTTCTAACCATTGGTCAATCTGGTATGAGTGGATATGAAGGTGCAAAAGCACAGCCCAACATAGCCCAGTGGATCGATGAGGCACGCAAACCATCGTACGGTGTTAAAATCCAATCTCATCGCGATGTGCAGCACTGATTCGGAGAAACATGACTTCTATCACCAATCGAACGAGCACCTTTGTGCCAGCTGAACTACAGAAACTGTAGTGCTGGCCGCGATTCTACCCTTGAACGCCATAAGTGACGAAGATGAGCAAAAGTGCCTGGAGCTCTCGCTATACTGTGTTTCTTCATCTACTGATCCATATGAGCTGATTTAGCTATCCATGTACGTAGTCTTGAACGACTTATACATGGTCCACATCAAAGGTCAGTGCAGAGGCAATTCCTGCCAAGCTTGAGGCATAGCTTCACATTTGGAGAGTGAAAAGCGTAACCCGAAACGGTCGACAGTCAAAGCTAATCTGTCCAGTGCTTTTTGGTGCTTTGTGACCCGTCACAGATCAGAGCAATAGCACCGCATACCCCAAATCAAGAAATTGATCACCCGGAGATAGATCGGCACCTTTGATTTGTGTTCAGGGAACGCACCTTCCATAATATCGTAAGTAGCAAAGATAAGAATGGAATGCAGCATCGGGCATTCCTGTCTAATACCGCTGGATATATTGAAAGCAGACGACAGCATGCCATAAGCTATCGCTTTTCCGGAGCTAGGAGCCCAAAGCGCTCTGATGATGTTTACGTATTTCTCAGGCATACGTTTCATGAGCAAACAGTACCAAAGAGCACAGCAATCAACTGAATTGAAGGCGACTTTGATTTCGAGAAATACAACTATGGTGAGTCATCAATATAAGTGGATGTGCTCCAACAAGTGAAGTAAAGTGAAGATGTGATCGATGGAGCCTGATCTCGAAGAAACCTGGCTTACTCCTCATGAACCAGGCTTTCAGGATGGAAGTCAAAGAGGAGAGACAGTCAGGAAAATTGGGCGCGATAGAGATTCGAATGATATCACAATGATCACCGCATTCCGAACGTGAATCCCCCCTGAAAATCGGGACTATAATGGGACGGCTCCCCTCGGTTGGGACAGTTTTCTGATCCCACAATTGCATTGATACACTGTGCAATTCGTCCATAGGAGCTGGTCCCACGTGTTTGAAGAGGGCAACAAGTTAGTTTAGTTCTTCAGCTTTACGCAACCTTACCAGACTGGTCTCACGCCCGAATTCCGAGTGTATCCAAATGACGGCGCAGGCAATAAGGCGACCATTGGCCGGCAGCGTATCCAGTAGTTCCAGTCAAAAAATTGCTTTCCAAAGTGTTCAGTTCAACACTTGGTGTCGTAAGGTTGCGTATACGCCCTCTACTCGCGTCGCATGTAGTCTCGCTGACAGCAGGTCTTCTGCTTCCCGTTTTCCATATGAGATGGAACAACTTCCGATGGTTACCAAATCAGATGAAGGATGAGACCACCAAGTTTAAAGGTTTCTTTTCAGGCTAGCATGCAATTTTACTCTCAGATCTTCGTGCTCCTATAAAATCGGGACGTCAGTGAGCATCCAAGAGTTTGAGAGACATCGTAGAGACCCAACGCTCAGACCACAAATCAGATTCACCAACGAAGACATAGGTGCTGCTAATAGCGTGTCGTGAACGTGTGATCAGTCATCATCAACTGTGTTCAGTGGGCGCTTACTCAACACAAATGTCAGCGCAATTTGATTGGCACTCAAAACATTTGATACCATCAGTTGGTGGGCGTCGTTGCGGGAGTACGCTGAGGCCGTATACAAAGGCATCGTTGGATAGATTGACACCAAGCGTGGAAACAATGTGGCACACAATCCGCGATTCCAATATACGAAGCAGTACCGAATGACCGGATAACACACACCAGAAAATGAGGGTAACTACCACTGGCAGTTGAACGTCATGTTACGCGTGTCTGAAAGACCGACGTTGCTTTTCGAAATCATAACGGTCCATTCAGATGAGGAGATGTGAGCTTATAGATCAAAACAAAATGCTTAACGTTGAGCACCGCTAGCGTTACCGCATGAATCATACATTTGAGGGCTTATCATCCAAAACATAAAACCGTGAAGTTGATCTGACTGCCAGTCCCGACGAAGCATTGCTGAGATGATTAGGTGCATAAACCAGACATGTGTGAGGTGGAACATGACAACGTGTCTGTGGGCATTCCACCGGAATGCATAATATCCGTGCATCCCTAGTCCTGTAAGTAACGATTATCGAGGGCCACCTGATCTACCACGTGAATACCAGTTCTTTGTCAATTCTGGACTATAGGGAGACCAAGTAAAGACAAGAGGAAGAAAATCGCCGGAAGTCTGGGTAGTGAAGAGGTAGACTGTGCATCTCAAAGGAGAGTTTGCTATGAAGCGGTAGAAGAGTCAGTAGCCTGTGGTTAGAATGGGAAAACGAATCTGATTTAACTCACAATGCTAAATTCGAGAAATTCAACCGACTGCAACCTAATAGTTATGTCTCCGTGAAGCTGGTATAAACTAGATTAATTTCCATGAGTGCTGCGAGATTGAGATGGACGGCTCATCGTGCGTTGACAATTATACCAAAATTGTACCAAAATGGCATCAAAAATGCCAGATTTTACACATGAGTAGGCAAAAATGAGAAGAGATCACTGTCACCAGTTCGGTAAACTGCCAGGCTTTCCGGAGCAATCATCGCACAATACTGAACAGAATCCTAGTGATTTGCATCCAGAGTTTGCAGTCAAAGTTTTAGTAAAAACTTTGTTCCTAACCGGTTTCAGCCGACGTAAATGATCGTGTCACAGAGCAATAAAATGGGAATAGTGCACAGTAGCTCAGAATTTGTATTTAGAAGACGGATAGAGTAAGACTGTCTCAGTGACCTTGGAAATGGACTAAAGAAAAAAGAGGTCGGAGTATTCATGCAAAATTGACAAATCTACAATAGATAAAGTAAACAACAATGTTCAGCGAAAAAGGAAACGGCCGAGTTAGAGGTCCTGTCCTGTATCAGAAGCAGTGAATCACCGTTGCGTATACAAGTCATTTGAAAGAGACCCAGCATCGCACCGTAATTACACTTACCTTCCGTCTTCGAGTCTTGATCATGAACTCTCGGGCGAGGTGAGTGGCAGGTTGAGGGACCAAGGGCTGAATTTGAATAGATCGATCTAGTGGATCTCCCGGAACCATCTGCCAATGGTGGAACACAAGCATGCAGAAGGCTTGGCCCTGTGAATGGGTCCGTAAATCGGTTTCGAATCCGAAAGAGTCCATCACAGGTAGGAAAGCCCGGATGACGTAGAGCGGGGAACCCGAGATAGGGGCGTCGTGTGTGACATGACCACTAAAAACAGGTCAGAAAACAGTTGACGTTAAGATGCGTTATCGTAAAACACGGACATGTATGTGGAGTTCTAGACCGGTGGACCTTTGGTATAAGCTAACCGAGTCGAACCAGTGATTATTGTGAAATTGATGGGACTAAGTGGCACCTGCTAGCGTAAATCTCTTAAGATATATTCTAAGTCGGCAGCACATTTAAGTGCAGATGTTAGGCTTTCCCAAGTCGCCTTTCCATCTGCCAACATGACGATCCAAGACCAAACGGTAGAGCATTGGCACAGACGACAAAACCTATAAAAATGCTGAGAAACATTTGAGCAGATTTGAAATGTCAAATCGACAAACAGCCTAACAGATGTTCACACAGGTCTATGTAGTCGTTTGGTTCCCTATCTATTGACATGCAGCTTATATTTGGCAGCACAAAATGCAGGATACTCGGATACATGTGGAAAAGGTTCCGTAAACGACTAGGGGCTAGCAACTACTGAATAATATAGCGAGAGAAGGACCTCATGTCCGAGTACAGTAACGCGATAATTGCAATCGCTAATTAAACGACGAAAGTGCAACAAGTATTTACCAGAGAAAAAAGGAAACAGCCTTTAATTCGAACAAATAATGGATTGCAATCGCCCTTGATTATCAAGCGGCTAAGTAGTGAATAATTGAAAGTAAGTGAAAGTGCAGTTGTACGGTGGAATTCCACATGGTTAACATGTCGTGGCTGTGTGCGACGGAAACACTGAACATAAGACACAATGCATTAGTGTTAAGATAAGTCGGAAGCAGACACAGTTAACTGAAGAATGTAGCCTGCATTCGACTCTTAAAGAACCGCCTAAAACAAAAGTGTCAACTGATGGAAAACAGGCGTACTCCAATGAGTAGATCTTATGAAGGAGAGCACATTTATCTTAGGACAATGAAAAAAGCTAACAGACGAGACGACATCTGTGTGCGAGTAGGTCAAAAGAGACATAAAGCGAGGAATGACATCTGCAGACTGGAATAGGAAAAAGCAGCAGCAACAACAACAACAACAACGACGACGACGAAAGATACCAAACAAATATAGATGCAGTGAAGGGATGGAAACAATAAAATGCGACGAAACATACCGTCGACGTGCGAGTACGGTGTAAACTGCAGAGACACAGTCCGCCGGTGCCTGAACCTCCACGAAATAGTACGGCTCCATCAATCGAGGAGTGGCCATAAGGAAAGCGGAATAAGCAACACGGCGAGCAGTGGGGATTATTTGACCCGACCCACGCTGATGAGCTTCGCCTGAGATGAGAGCATCCAACATTTTGAATTTTACGTTGCGAATAGGTTCGTCACATAACGGACCCTCGCGAGTGCCCCATTGGAAGCCCTGTAGTGTATAAGCAGCGAAATAAACAACTGAGACGCTTAGGATGATGGGCACATTTGAGGATGTAAGAGTTAGTAGCGAATGGTGGAATATAACTGTAAGATCTAGGAAAGCGGAAGGTGCTAACCAAGTAAAAAGAGAAGCTAAGTAAGTGAAGGTAAAACTCCCCCAACCAATTTTCAAAAGCAGCAAGAGAAAGACAACAAGTGATAAATACCAGGTGATGGAATGTTACAACCCCATTCAGATTAAGAGCTCAATGACACCTATTAACATGCCTCTCACGATTTGTATATCCCGGTAACGGGACAGTCGAACGGATGATTATGTCATTCAGCATGAAATGCAAAAGCGGAGATTTAATCAGGGAAAAATATGACGATGAGACGGTGGAAGGTATAAACAACGCATAGAAACCGGAGAAAATGAGAAGTTATGGCGAAGTGTAAAAGCAATGCATCAGCAGTACGCCGGTACGTAGTATAGACGCTTCGCTGCCGCGCAACCACCACCAGTCGCATGTGCGCTAACGATAATAGGAGGGTCGCCCGGTCCCTACGCAGGCTCAAACCCGCGCCCTCGGATTACAAGGCAGGCTTGTGATCCTTAAGGCTACGGGCCGGTCTTGGTGATGTGTACGCTAGAACAATGACAGATGGGTGAAATAAGAGGTAAATCACTCATTGGCGGAGTAACAGGGGTCATCAAACGTGGATACGTATGTGCATGTGATCAACTAACTTTTGAATTGGCGATGGATAAGTATTCAAATCCCAAAGTTATGCTGTTGAGTGCGTGTGCACGGTCGTCCGGCTCACTATCTCGTGTATAGTAGACTTGCTGAAGTTCCGCCAAATCGATGTAACAACAAAAACTGCCGATAAAAAGCGACTATTCGCAAGCCTTCTGCGACCCAACCATGTGCCAGAGCAGATGGAGGTTTGGGCAAGTTAATGAATTCATGCAACGTTAATAGTGATAACATGTGATTCACAGTCGCGCAGACAAGAGCAACCTTGAGGGTAACCACGAGGCTGTCATTGTATAACATGTCATGACGGGCTTCGCTTTAGTTTCTAAAGGTAAAGCGAGTCGGAAGGTTAAAAAGTATCGTATCACTAGCATGAAAGCCCATTAGTGGTGACACTTCGCCGTCAAAGCGGCCACACATGGATTAGGAAACTACCAGGTAACCCAAACTACACCGCTAATCCCACTCCAAAAGTTTAGGAGTACAACAACAGGAAACAGAAGTGAAAGCTGGACAGTGCGCGGATTGTGGAAAACTTCCACTGAATACCAAATGAAGAAAAACGTTAGCGCAGATTTGCTGTTGGATGGTAATGGCGAATGGGGCGCCAGGCTTGCTCAGGACCGGTAACCAGACAAGATGAATGTGATCTGCTTAGAATGTAGTGGTCGAATGACAGCGTGCCACTTCGACTCTAGGTCCAGAATAACGAAAGCAATCCACAGTCTTGCTAAATTGCGAAACAGCAGTGCCGTTAAATCTGATAAACCGCATTAATAAAGAATCACAAAAATATGTTTTCACAAGTACTGCAGTCCACCTGCATGAAGGATACTGGAAGGGTTACAGCACTGGATACAGACTACAATACTCTGCAAACGTCAGCGATCAAAGACAGTCAATCATTTGATGTCTGTAACTAGAAGTGCCCAGGTCTCTGATCCATACTATGATACCAGCCACATAGTAGCGTCATGCACCCTATCTTTCACTGACAGGCCGATATACCGCCATCTACATAGACAGTTAAGAATGAAAAATCAAATGGACTTTGCTAATATGTGAACTGATCTCCTCAAGGAAGTGGTCAACAAAGTCGCTAAACAAATCAATCACTTTCAGTGGCTCTTTGCTGGTAGCCACAAGCTGTGACATTTCGGCCTATTCTAGCAACAATATTTTGCAATTCAAAGATACAGAGTGAATATCGAAGCATGCAGAACAACACGCCAGTCTACTCAATGGCATCTGAACAGCCACTGGGTCCGACCCAAGGAGAGGCATGTCGTCCGCGTATTCAAGGTTTGCTAGTCAGTTATGTGATAGAACTCCTGAAGGGTAGGAAAGAACGGAATTACTGCACAAGAAGGGAGATATAGGGTAATTGGCAAACCTTATTCATCAGAGGGAACTCAGGAGAAAACCTCCAGTGGATTCTTACTGGACCTCGGGAGTTATGGTATGGAGACTTCAGAATAGGAAGCAATTTCCCTGGTATGTAATCTCAACAGTCTAGTAACTAGACATAGAGCCAACATTTCCCTGGCACGCCATTCACGATTAGGTAGTGCCATAATTTGGCATGATGGACAGAGTCGAAGCCGACTTTCTGGTCAAGGAAAACCAACATAATCAATTGATTGTGAATCTAGCGCTAACCGATCAGGCCGTCACTAGGATCAGGCAGTTGTCGGAAAGCTATACTCGTGAGATGTTTGGAGGCAACAAAAATCGCGGATTCAATAGCGTTGTTGCATTTGACTACCAATTGTCAACCATTCAACCTGAAGATTACGAGCACCAACTCATATCGTAGTTTAGCCTGTACTTCGCGTGTCAACTGATGTTCCGGTCTTTGCGATTCACAAAAAATGGATGCGATGTGCCTTCGAAACACGCTAGGATAAGTAAACTGGTACTGAAAACAACCAGCTCAACGGTTGGTAGACATTTTTTGAACATGCGCAAAATGATAAAGCGCTTGCCTTTCGAAAAGCTGGTCCACTATCGAGCCAACTGGTTTTGTAAATACACAGCAATGCACATGTGACATTCTTAGCGACACTAGCAACCATATGAGGAGGTGAAAGTGATAGCAATAGGAGAATACTTGTATCCGGACTTCACAAGCAACGCGATCGAGTCAAAGGTGTGCATAAACGGATCCGGAGAGAAACGATGCAGTGGCCACACAGGTGGGTGGGTAGCGTTGGTTTATGACAAGGGTGATCAACTCGAAACGAGTGTGTCTAGGCCCATTATCAGTGCAGCCAACACACAGTATCAGTGGATGTAAACATAAACCAATTGTGAAAGAGAAAAGTAGCCCTAGGATAATCGCTCACTTGAACAATGTAGTCCTTCACAGTGCCCAACAAATTTTTGTCCACTTCAGAGGGTAACGTGTCATCGACCAAAACATTTGGACCGGAGGCATCAGGCCCAAAGGCCCAAATAGATCTGAAGGGAGAAAATATGATGTCAGAAAAACAGATGACAGAACTGAGTGTGCTTCTCGTGAATTGAGGGCGTGGTCTAAACGCAACCGAGAAGGTAGCGGCCATAACAGAATCAGAATTATGTAACCATAAGATTGCAAATGAATGGTCGTGGTATTCAGAAAAGGTGATAATTCGGACTCCACTTCAACCGAGAAATTGGCGATGAGCTCATATAGCTTTAATAAGTAAACTGTGTCCCATCAGTGGACCAAGCAGCCCACATCACAAGCATCCCCGTGGTGTACGAAAATGCTTAAACGGTAGAGTAAAATGGTGATGGTAACCTGATGCTGGAATTCCAGTTGGTTCGCGTGACTGCGTGATGAGATACGAAAAAATCTTATAGCCGAAAATATTTCCGGTTTCTCACCCCGAGCTCGCTATCAAGTGTCCCATTGCTGAATCAGATAATCAACAGCCAAACTCACACCCCTTCGGAGCTCATTCGGGGAGCTGACATACTTTAAAAAAACAACGGTATATTTCATCACAGTGCAAAGCACAGTTCAACTGAATTGTTTGATATATATCGCCTCAGCCAACGGTTCATTAACAGCGAACCAACGGTTTGGGACAGGTGCGGTGATGTACCGTAAAGGACGTTACCTTGACGCTAACAAATCCCATTCATATTTCTTCTGGAAAAATTCGCCCAATCGCTTTTTAGGCCAGTCAATTTGGACGACTTTGTTTTCAATGTCTTCCGCGAGACCTTTGTCCAGTGGCTCTGCAATCATCGTCAATTTGTTTCTGTATAATATGAAAAAGTGGAGAGAAAATACAAAAAGAAAACAACCATCAAAAGGCGGGGGAGATTACTTCCGTTTCAACGAGAAACCCATAAAATGCGTTGTGTGCAATTAGGCTTACTTTTTGTTTGGAGTCTCAGCAAAGCATTTAAGTGAAGATGTTTCTATCACAGTCTCACAGAACGCGACAACGGGGTCCGCGACTTTTACATCTGATGCAAAGAAATGAGAAAAATCGAATACGACTGTCATATGTAAGTTGGATTTACAGGGAATATGTCCGCAAACTCACATGTCCTACACTACATGAGAGCACCAGTAAAGCACCAAACACCACAGTCACTATGAGATTCTCGTACAAGCGCCCTCCAACTTCAACTATATAATCATGGGAATCACGAGGCGGTGCACTGCACAGCCTCAAATGACAGCTGATGGTTACTTCTGTGAGATGACACCTCGGATTAGGTGTGCGATTGTAGGGCGCCCAGATCGCCAAAGCCGGTGCAACGTAAGTTAAAAGTAGAGCAATTGATGTGACGAGATTGAATCACAGGACTCCGGTGATACAAAGCCAATTGACAAAAGGAAATAATGTTGTAATTCAGTGATTCCATCAGAAGAACGAGGAGTGCACTCCAAGGGCACAATTTCATAGACCAGTCTATGGCTAGGTGAATAGTCCACAGGTTGAGCACGGTCCAAGAAGTAAACTTTCCCCGGCATGCGTGTTCGCTCAGACAAGGCATATCTTTGTACACGCCAGTGGTGCGCACTGCAAAACACAAACACGTCAGCATCTGTTTGTGGTGTTGTTGAGGAGTGTATTCCTGTATAGGTGTAAACCGATCAATCGCATAGGTAACTGATGTTAGTGTGGGGAATAGTGCAGTCGAGAGACCAAAAGCACCCATGTGTTTAGTTTCCTCTCCCTCCCAAACCGTTTCTACGGTATTTACGGTTTCAACCCGATTCTAAATGATCAATCGTCTGCTTGCTTGGTTCTCAACCTTTCCAATGTTATCAGTTTCTCCAATTAAAACGAAGCGAGTCGATTTGAGATAATTTACAGTGCACTTCGAAGCATGAACCATAATCGACCAACCAAATCGAACAACGGCATATCATGGAAATATGACCCAATGCTATTCGAGGTTAATTCGGCAACAACAACAACAACAACAACAGATGATGTTTGTTGAAGGAAGGTGAGGCGGGCATTGCTAACTAACAAACGCTACAGAGGTGATTGAGAAGCATTCTGATGGACGTAATTCCAGGTATGTATAGGTAACCAAACAATGGTAGGAAAGGAAACGGCACGTACCAATATCTGAGTAAAGTTTCCGTAGATCATGCATTACACAGTCGAGATAAAGCTCTCCGGTGCCTCGAATAATTCGCTCTCCAGACTCTTCAACTTTAGTGGTAAGAAGAGGATAGCTTTTGTTTACCTAAACATGGCAAAACGCAAAAGAGAAAAAAGGAAAGGAATGTCCTGAGAGTTGAACGATCTATAGCAAAGCTGGAAGAGTATACTGAGGAGCAGAGAATTACGCGGATAATGGGGTTGCTGGACTAATGTATTTACAAGTCATGTGTGGAATGTATGCATGTATTCGGTCCATATGGAAACGGTGAAGTCAAAAAAGGAAAGATCGAAAAATAGTTGCGTAACTGCAGGTCCAATGGATGCGCACTACTGATGATCCCTAACAGGCTGAAACTGCAAGCTAGTGCTTTTCTGGGCACGTGAAAGACTATCAGATTTGGAAGCTGGCTGCGACGAACCTCAATTATCAAAAACAGCGAAAATTTTACTCTCTAGCAGTTGAGTATAAATAAAAAGCGATTACCTTGCGCAAACCGTCTAACAATTTTGGCAACTCAGATGGATTGGCAGGTTCCACAGCAATTTTCACCACCGAAGCACTATTGAAACTCAGAGGTCTGAAAATACACGCTCCCTTGGCATCGGTGGAGGTCAGCGTGGCGGTTTTTACAATCGGGTGGTCCACACCCTCGATGAGAACCCAATTCCCGGCGGGAACGCGGTTCACCTCAAGACGATAACTACGGAAAGATGGTAGGAAAAGTTGATTTGGAATAAAAAGTTGTGGATAATGCAGTAGGACATTGTAATTACCAAAAAACGCTTAACCAAATGCAAACGAGCAATATGCAAAAATGGGACAACGCTATCTCATAAATTATGCCCATCAAAGACTTGGTCAACTAACTGTATCAATGACAAAATATCAGAAATCAAACAGGCGATCGACTGCAAAGTAGGCACACAATGGAAAATGAACATTGGTTATGAAAAAGAGGGTAAGTGAATAAGCACGCATCGCAGTTGAGCTCAATAGCGTAATCACTGCACCTTAGAGAGATGAAAGACAAGTAGGACACGTAATGCTCAACTAGTTGATATAAACATTATATCGATTTTAGTATGCACCGAGAATGACCGAGAGTGACAAGGAGACTCAGAATACAAACATCATGCCGGCTCTTCGCTAAGTCGGCAAACGTATCCAACCAGACACACTCATTTTCTTTGAGACTCCAATGAAGGATTTGTAGAACATCAACCGAAGTGAAGTCCGAAATGTTAGTCTTTTTCTTGTCCAAGTCCTAGATTAGTCTCTCCCCTATCTCTAACCAGACCACAGTAACGCAAACAACACACATCGCTGGAGCTGTAGTGCCATCATGAGTAATGCATGGCTCAGCCATCGGAGACCGGTGGGTAAAGCAATGGTGTTGAGCGGTTCATCAGACATCCTGGTGCCATACACAAGGTGGCAAACACGTCCATCGCCCACGTGATGCTCATTGGGCACAGTAAACAACCCCGCGTTGCTAATCAGTAACGAAAACTGCGAATGTGTGTGTGCTCAAGCCGACAAAGTGAACTATATTGACCATATTTTGCGACTAGTGTATCGTCGCAGCCGTCTGGAAACCACAGGACGGCAAGGTGGAGCGATAGGAGCTGAGGTCCCAAAAGCAACCGATTGCCGATATATTTAGATCATTTTGGGGTATTCCGTCTATCTTCTTCACTGCTACTGTCATGAAACGAATCCTCCCTATCTTCAAAAGAAGTTGGAACAAATCTATTTACATTAGCAAATATCAAGGCTGTATTTTATACATATCACCCGTATGTACCTTTGATTCTGCAGTTTATCCAACAGCGTCACCTGAGCCTCATCTTAAATGCCAAATAATACGACCATACTGCATATTTCGTATAGCTCTTCGACAACATTCGTTCCCTATATCGATGGGTCTCTCCCATCTACTGAAGACATTCGCACACCTATCTGATCATCACCATCTTCCGATTCCTCAAGTCACGCGATTTGGCGAACATTTTCAAAAATATTTTCCTAATTAATGAATCTCTAAGGCGAATTGAATTTATTAGGGAAACCTATTAAATATTGAAATCTGGATAGAAGCAGCAAGCAGTAGCAGCTGCATCTAAAATCCCACAGGAACAAAGACCTGTTATGTTGGAAGGCATTCGCGATATTTCATGTCGGCAAAGTGTTTCTCAAGGAATTTTCGGAAATCCGACACCAACTTCGCATCCACTACGTTGGAGGACAAGACATTTCATATATCAACTACTCAGTTAAATTTACACCTACCACTTACTTTCCTCATGGAATTCACAAAAATGAACATTTCAAGTAAACTGAAACACCAATATTTAACAAGTGTGAAGAATAAGGTAGAATAAATGTGCGACAGAATCAAAAGGAGTCAGGAAAAAGTTAATCGTTTTGGGATGTTAACAGGTGGATGCGGAAACCGGATACAGGAGAGCCGTCGACCTTGCGGATGCACCAGGCCTGATAGTGTTCAACAAATGATGAAGGCTACCTCGAAGTTCCGGTCAACGAAGAAAGCACGTTTCGTCTTGACAATGTCTACTTCCTCATGTCCTTCAGTCACGTCATTGACTGGCCACCTCACGCTTTTGCACAACCATGTACAGTAATGGTACACGATGCACGCCGAGGTAGGTGAACAATGACAATATGGATGTTAAGATCAAGCACATGTTTAGCAGATATTCCAGTGCGGTAACAGGGGGGTCTATTCCCTAAACATCGGCCTCATGCTGAGATTGATGTGGCATAGATTACACTACTCCACCGCAGCTGGGCTAGGTTGACTTAAACATAGATTGTTTCGCGCTACACTATATCTGGCTGAATCCGTTAAGTTTCATTTTCTCAGTTAGGTTAATCGTCCGCATATTTCCCCTCTATTGTGTTAGTCGGTTGTTATCCTCCTCGGCAGGTGGCCGAAAGGATTGCACGCCTGGATTTCAACCCTTAAGTCACCGGTTCGAATCCGCGTATCGGCGGGCGTCCTCGCGGAATACTCAGCCCACGCGCGACCGGTGGTGGTCGTGTGGTAGCGAAGGGTCGGTACAGTGTGCCGGCGTACTCTCTTTCTAAATTGCACTTATACTTCCCTTAGATCACCTGTACACCCGAGCAGTAATGCATATTTTTTGAGTTGCTCACAGGTTTAGTGTCCAGTCTGCGTGCACATATTTTTCAGATTATGTGTTGACTGTCTGATATCCACGGTTTGACTGCGCTTGATGCGAATGTTGACAAGATGCCTACCTGTCTGAAAACCGTTACCTCAATTATACTGGCTCCAAAAGACTGGGAAACGATGCTGGAGGGCAGGATGGGCCTTCCTCGTGTACTGCTAGCCTCAAAGAGTGATCCCATAGATCCTGTGTGGAGCGGACTACGGCCCATACACCGGCTTCTGTTCGCCTGGTACGCATAATTCCCCAAGTAGACTGATTGGAAGGTTGCTGCTGTGTGTGATGAAAGAGTGTGGACCCGCTCCGTTGATGAAACGTGATTTCCATCGCATGCCTCCCAGTCTTATTCTTTCGTGTTAACAATGGATGTGGGTGTGTGGATGGAGCTGTGGGTGGTGCAGCGCAAGCATGCATGGTCATTCTTTAGGCGCATGTGTTCTGTGTTCGTCCTATGGAGGCCGTAGTGGCAGGCAAATCCGGAATCGGATGCTAGCAAATATCAACCGGTATTGCTCACTCAACGTTCCCGCTACCCACAAGCAATACTCTGCAAGAGCTCTGCTCAGTACTGACTAGACGTCCAAAATGCTCCAGTGATATGGAAAGCACAGAAAGAATTGAATCCAACCAGCATCAACAGAACAGCCATAAGCTGTTACATGTAGCTGAAAGAGAGATGCGTACAAAAACGATGGATGCGATATAGAACGAATGTGTAGGTGAGAAGTTTCCGTGCTAGAAGAGCGACCGTATGGGGCAGGTGGCCCTGTGGTCTGCACGTTTGGTTTGCAACCATAAGGTCACCGGTTCGAATCAGCGTAGGGGTGGCCGTCATCGCGGTTGACTCAGCCCGCGCGCGAATGGTGGTGGTCGCGCGGCAGCGAAGCGCCGTTACGGCGTACAGCCGATACAATATTTATTTATTATTTATTAACGACAGAAAGCCAATGGTTAGAGGCAGTCATGTGTTAACTCTGGAGAGATAAACACCTAACCCAATGCATTAGTCAGCATAATATCGACGACGAAAGACGATAAGTAAAAACATTTTGGAAGTAGGGCGAGTAACGTACAAAACTGGACAAATGTCATTGGAAACCATTTGGAAATCCGCTCAGAATCCTGAATAACGGTCTATAAAATATAAAACTTAGGGAGCTACGCGAACGGTTAATCGATAAAGAGTTATGTAGGAATTGAAGTGCACACATAAACATCAACATCATAAACACACATTGTGGGTGAGAAACACACCTCAACTAGTGTGTCGCAGTACAAAAGGACAAGGTACTAAACATTACCAAAAAAACTGAAAAGCCAAGTAATATAATGCGAAGTATCATATTATGTAAGGAGTGTGAGATGGTGATCAGAAAAAGAAACGAAGACAGAGGAACATAGAAACACACAACACAAACACGATTGAGGTCGGCTCGTCGCCGTGTCAACCGTACACTCACCGAGCAACTGAAACCCACAAGCGCCCAATTGTAGCCTGTCTGGAATCTTCCTCGTCCGTGAGGGAATAGTTTTCACCCAAGACCCGAACCAGCTGACCAGCATACAAGGTACCAGACATGACCCGACCGTACACATGGAAAGTGATTGCTTCTTGATCTGGATACAGTTTGGTGGTGTGCACCATCACATGTTTGGATTCTGGGTTGCAGGAGATCATATCACGAGACAGTGCGCTGTCCATAGGGCCAGTGTAGCAATGCGACACTTTTGTTGCGGCGGCCGCAACTGGACTGGGAATGTGTTGTACGCACATGTGAACGAAACCTATGGGGATAGAGGTGAGATTCACGATGATCTGGCATGACGTCGAACTCAACATACAGAAACAAATATCCTCCACTGCAGCATCGCACGACGCTCAAGCTCGCACATGAACAGAAATAAGAAAAGGAAAAGATCATTCTCAAAGGTAAATTGTACTGCACCGCGACTTCAGACCAGATGGGACGTGTGTGCAGTGACAAGGCCAGATTCAAACGCAATTGCGTAATCAAGGTAGCGTGCTGTTTGCGAGTACTTAAGGCACGGATTACAAGTCTCTGTGGTTTGGTGACATAGAAGTGCGTATTATTGTAGTGGTACGGAGTATACATAGCGCCTGTGGTTCGATAGCTACCGGCTGCCATCGTTCGAATCATAGTACTTGAAAGTCAACGAATAAGCTTAGGGCGTAAAGAAAACGCAAACAGAAGGCAGAAAGTACATCGGGCCGAGTCTAAGAAACCCGAAAGGGGTGGAAGAAAAGGAAGGGAGGAGGCTAAGAGGATCAAATATAAAGATTTGGTTCGTCAGCGGTCTTTACGCGATGTAACATGGTCGAATTGTGGCACTCGAAATGATGTGTGCATAACAAACAATGGTGATAACTAGCACATAATTATCATTCAAAAGTAAACTTCAGGGATGCGACAAGTTGGATACAAAGTAATCCCGGAAGGCTACCAGGAGTGAGAAAGCTTACAATAATCCAGTGGAAAAATGACATCACTGCAATGTCACGTGTTACAACTTTAACAGGAAAAGATAAAGTTATCATTTAGTATGTTTGAATTTCACTGTGACAAATTTCAATATGTGAACCACCGGGAAATACGAAGGATAATTGCACGCATCGGGTAAGGAACAATATGCGTCGAGTTCAGTGCAATCTTTTATTTTATCGTACGCCACGAAAAAGGGCTAGCTAGGAACTTCTAAAATGTTATGCGTGTCGAGATAACAATGAGGATATGAGGTATAACATCGTATTATGATGGGTATAAGTACACAATAAGGGAAAAACGAGTCATTTTGAAAACGGATTTTGTTAACATTTTTGACCAAATGGAACCAGTTCTCAAGTGGAAACAGACTTGACCACATCCGGGTTAACGGTGGTGAAAGTCGCAAGAGTTCCCTGGCACAAATAAAGCAAACCACATGTGAGTATGCCATCTGATTGCAATCATGAAGCAAACTTACCGGAAAAATCACCAAAGAATCGCTTGAAAATGATACGCAGCATAGGTCTGACATTCATTTTCATTTCTGACTTGCTCAAGTTAATGCCCAATTCGGTGCACAATGCAGGCAGACAGGTGTCCACATCGCCAACAGTCTGCGCGAATATTTTGTACAGCGGCTCAAGAATGAAGTCAATAAAAGTTCGATTTGAGGTATTTGTGGGAGGTCGCTTAGAAAATCGACGTCTGAAAGGGGAAGTTGAAGTCTAGTGATGAAAATGAACCTTAAATAAGTCGACAAAATGTTTTCGTAGCCAGATGAAGTTTAGGCGGTTGTCACGAATATAATCCAACGTGAGTGCGGAGCACTATGATTGTGAAAAATGGTTTCTCCTCGAAAATAATTCGTTACCGACAACTAGCAACCATGGTTGGCAGCATCCGGTTTCGGATTAGCCTGTCACTGTGACCAGCCACAAGACGCCTGCGCCTACAGAGAGACCATGGATGGCTTGCGCTGCACCACCCACAGTTCCATCCACACACCCCATATCCAGTGTAAACCCGAAGGAGGCATGCGGATGGGAGCCACGTTTCATCAACGGAGCCGGCCCACACTCCTTCACAGGCAAACACAAACACGCTGTATTTGGGGAATCGAGCGCACACAAGGCGGTGGCTGGACCGTAGTCCGCTCCATACTGAGTGCATGGGAGCACTCTTCGAGCATAGCACAACCACAAGGACCGCGCACCCTGTCCCCTCCAGCAACGATCAACTGTCTCCTGGAGACAGTATGGACGAGGTAGTGGGTAATAGACAGGTAGGCAGCTTGTCAACATGCACATCAAGTGCAGCCAGACCTGGGATGTCAAACAACAGCCAATCATTCGAAATGCCGATATCAAATAAAAGATATCGAATAAAGTAAACGTATATGACGACATAAAACTCGCTAAATGAGCATATGGAGGAAATTGGTTATAAGCGAATCCGCGTTAAGTACAAAATGTCCGAACCAACTTACACTTAAACTAAGTCTTTTAATGTGGAGAAAATTCATTCCACTTTATTTGGTTTGTTCTGCGTACCTGGTAATCTTCTCCTAAGTTGCACACGTCGCTCATGCTAATTGTGGTAAACTTGCGTAACTTTATCACGTCGTATTTTTTCAAATAATTATCAACCCAGTCGGGTTTTGGATGAATCGAACAATATCCCACGTAGTACGTGCATTATTCGCACATAGGGTAGAAGGCGTTAGCCCTAGTGATCCGAGTAGTGTTCGAAAAGGCGTCCACAGATGAGCAGGCCCAGTGCTCCAACCTAAATAAAGATAAGCGCGTGAGGATCAACAACTAGGGAGAACAACCTCTAAATTAAACTGCAGTGGTGATCCGCGACTACGCCACGCTGCTACGGGACTACTAATCGCGCATGAGCTAGGGAAACAGCGAAGATGCGTGCACCTACCGGTGACTTCGTTCGATGAACAGCCTTTAAAAGTTTGGTTCGTCGGCCAACATCCGTGAACTAGTTACAGTGTGAAAAAAGAACAATTGTGCAACCTGATAGCGACTGCACTGTTTACCCTCAAGCTCTCATCCGGTAGACTGTTGGTCGACAGGGAACCAATTTGGAAACGCGTTTGCGGCGATTAGCTTGATAGGAAGTGCCTAACGGTGACCGAACCTGGGTAGGTGATAATGTGGAAGTTGCAGACGTGCACCATTGTGTACTACATAGAAAGCAGAACGGATGAAGGAGTTTTGGTTGGGAGTATCAAAGGGACCGAATTCACATGAAGAAAGCAGAATAGCTGGATAGTCACATAAGATGGAACAAATCTCCGTCACATCTATAAACAATGATCAATCACAGCGACCTACGTGCTAGGATTGTAGTAGATATCCCCCCAAAGACGTTTCGCCAGCTCATCCGAATCCATGTCCGGAGCGAAAGAGTCAGCATAGATTTTCGCAAATGAGTCCAGGGTGAAGCAAAAGCGGTAGTATGTGCTCGCGAAGCAGACATTACCAAGAAGTGGACTAACAAGGGGCTGGGAGTCACTACTATCAGCTAAACGGGGAGAAGGGTAAGACAAAGCGCATGGGAAGATGTGAAAGCATGATATCACCATAACTTGGAAAAAACTACCGGTCACCGAGAGGTTACGCAGTAAAAGTAAAGAAATACGCGCAAGTATAGATTGGGGATAAACATGCGCTGTTTCGTGAGCAAAAGTAGACAGTGGATTACTCCTGAGAAATAACGAAAGACAGAGAAAGGTCAGATTACGATTGTAAACAGTAAGCGGGGAATGAGGATAGGGAGTACTCATTTCAGATTTTCTTGAGCTCTTAAGTGAACTCAAGATAATGAGAAACAGAATCAAAATCGGGTGCACAAGTCCTTAAATAGACAAGGCGCAATGTAAGCGAAACAAAAAATACGAAGACCCTCCACATCCCGAAATTATAGGTCATGTTAAACCGATTGACAGTAACCGGGAAATGTCAACTGTCAGAGAAGCGGCCCGATTGAGACGGCACACAACACTGGATGTGAACAAATAACAAAAGTGGAAAGTATTGGGAATCATTCGGAATCAGGCGTAAAAGGATCGACAAGCAAAAGAAAAGCTTGGACGAATGGTGCAACAAGGGATTCGGCTCACCTGGAGGTAACATGGGAAACTCGAGTTAGACAGTAGATTTTCTGGTCGCCCGTAGCGAAACTGAATGTACAACAAATGTTAGCCGCTTATCATCCGAAATCGCTGTGTACAGTTAGAGGTGGTGGAGGAAGAACACCTGGGTAAACACTGTAAGGAGCTGGGTGGAGCCGCTCCTTCTGCGTCACAAAAAGTGTCTAGAGAACTCGATAATGAATGGCTATCGAGTTGAATAATGGAGTCAGATACAAATAAATACCGTACAGTACCGAATACATGCCATGAACAATTTTTCCTTTCTGCAGAATGGGGGTCGGCTTATACAGAGGTTATAAAAAATTGTAAAAGTGACATGCAAAATCCACATCCCAGACCGTGAACTTTGACCTCAACCAGTGCTATACTTTAGTTCGCATGATTGAGGCATCCGACTATGCGAGGCAGCGTGTCTGACACCCTCTCACACCATACCTTATGTTGTCGGCTGTTTTGCCTGTTTCATGTGACTCCACATATGGTTAATACACTGACCGGTGAGGTGAAAATCTTGGTACTGACGGTTCTATCCCCCATTAACAGCGATTATAACATATTACAGTCACCACAACTGAAGAATATTAGAGCAGACCTCGCTTGAACACACTCAAGTGAGAGCAGGTAGTGATGAAGAAACAAAGTAGTTTTCGCTTTGCTGTTTTTTGGAGGTCAACTAATATAGGAAGTCATGACTTTGGACGAAGTTATACTATCGGCCTATCTATGGACGGGATTATATTCAGTAATATACGGTAAAATGGTTTAGCTTGGTGGCAGGAACTTATAATATCAACAAAGGAGGTCACTTGAGCCATCATGATATCAGCAACAAGGTGCTAAGCTTGTGACTCAAGAAAACAATGACAAAAATACCGTTAAATCCACGGGCAAAATGATAAACCGGATCTCGAAGGGCTCTATAATGGTTGGCGGCATCCGGTTTCGGATTTGCCTGTCACTGTGGCAAGCCACAGGACGCCTGCGCCTACAGAGGGACCATGGGTGGCTTGCGCTGCACCACCCACAGCTCCAACCACATACCCCATATCCAGTGTAAACCCGAAGGAATAAGACCGGGAGGCATGTGGATGAGAGCCAAGTTTCATCAACGGAGCCGGCCCACACTCCTTCACAGACAAACACAAGCACGCTGTATTTGGGGAATCAAGTGCACACAAGGCGGTGGCCGGACCGTAGTCCGCTCCACACTGAGTGCACGGAACCACTCTTCGAGCCTAGCACGGTCACAAGGACCGTGCACCCCGTCCCCTCCAGCAACGACCAACTGTCTCCTGGAGACAGTATGGACGAGGCAGTGGGTAATAGTCAGGTAGGCACCTTGTCAACATGCACATCAAGCGCATCCACACCGGGGATATCAAACAACAGCCAATCACTTGAGAGAGAAAGGGAAAGAGAAAAAGAGGCTCTATAATAGTATACTGTATATTGGTGACAAAAGAAGTTCAGAGTTAAAGAAAGATCGCTATTTCGGTTAAAAGTAATGAAACTGAAAGCAGTGCAAGTTCATCAGTGTGACAACGCAGCGTATGGAAAACGATCAAGAAACTCGACCTGCTATTGAAAATTCAACGCTAAGGGTAGTGACAGGTTAGAGGCATAAAAGCTATGTCCGATATGGTTTTTCGACCCAGTGGGCAAGAACATAGTGTAGAAGGTTTACCGTTGTAAACAAAGAGATTTACGTTTAAATATCGCGTTAAATGAAAAAAATTTTTAGCTGGCGGACCCCACATGAAAAGGAAACAGAGTTGATGACGCCGTCAGGCCGAGTTCTTGCAGCACAGCTTCACAGCCGGCTCACAAATCAGTTCGAATGAAGATGTGAGTACATAGCGCGGATAAAATGAAGGTCTCCTCTCAATAAATTAAGGTCAGAAGAATAAAATTCGTGGGGGACTAATGATAGATCATGTAAGAAACGCACTATTAAAGACAGAATATCGCATCATAACTAAGGAAAGCTCGTCAACTGCTTGGACAGTAAAACTCACCCCCGGTCGACTCTGAAAAAGTGAGTAGAATGGAGTTCACTTCATCGATAATGTTCTTTATCTTATAATAGGCATCTGTAGGAGGAAGTTTCAATTCCAAAACCAGTCGATCGATTTTGTTGATGCACAAGGTGATCGGAAGCCTTTCATGTAAAGCATGTTTGAGCAATCGCTCTGTATTTAGCAAGACTCCTTCACTGACATCCACCAAAAGGCAGACACCGTCAGCCAGGCGAAAGGAAGCGGTGACCTCATCCGAGAAGTTGACATGACCTATGAGGAGTAATGAAGAGCTGGTGTTAAGAGAGCATGGCAAATAACTGGTGAAAATTGATTAAAGGGACTGAACTGGAACAGTAATATAACAGTTGCGCAGAACAGTTATGCACAAGGAGAAGAAAAGAACGCTGGTACAGAGCATACTGTACGGTAACCACCACTGAGGCAGGTGCATAGATAATTAGATGCAGTGGTCGGGTCCAAAAATAAATGCACAGTAGACTGAAAATGCACAGATCGACGCGACAGCGTAAAGCAATGCTGATTTAGTGAGAGTCGCAATTGACGAAAAGTCTACAAAACATGTATAATCGAGGAGTGCCTAGTGGGTTACTGACACGGTGGTCAGTTCGAGAGCAACCCGATGTAATAAGACAAGTCAGCAAAGCGAAGTGAGAATCGTGGAGTTGTCATAAACCGTATCAATGTAATGAAAATAATCAGGTACCGGGAGAAAAATAAGCAGTGCACCTGGCCGTTAGGTGGTGCGCCGATTGTGGCATAGTAAAAAGTCCCCACCGCCTGATATAGTCGAAGCTCATAGGCTTCAGCCAGGCAAACGGTCATTTGCTGCTTACATATTGGCCAACCCGTCGCACCCAACTATGTGCTGCATAGGTAAACAATTCGTGCAGGAGAAATAAATCGCGAGTGTGACATGACAGTCGGGCACGGGTATAGGTCGACAGATACCACAGTGAAACACAAGGGCAACGTTGACCAAATTTCAGCACCACTAAGTTGGTCTCTAACAGAAGTATACAACACTTTGGAAAAATTCATGTAATCATGTAATCAATCTGATAGCGCCATAATATAGTAACAACAGCCGTATGAAACTGCCGTATCTCCCGTCCTTTAGTGACATCCTGATATGTCGTTGTCTACATCAATGCTTCAGGAGTTGAAAAACCACAGGTCTCACCAATTGTATAGACGATCAATCAAGGATACAAGGATAGAAAAAAGACTTAAAAACCCGGTTCTAAGATACCATCTTGCACCACGCGCCCTGTGTACGTATCTTCGGAAGAACGAGCATGGCAGTTGAGATCAACCAAAAGATAGCTAGAAAGTCCGCTAAGTAATTAAGTACTGACCCGTTGAAATCACAACTTCACAGAATAGAGAGGAGATAAAATCACGTAAGGTTTTCCGACCACACATAGGGAGAGAAACGCAAAGCTTCGACATATCCGGTGTACACTTAATGTGTCCCCTTGTGTCCGAAGTATCAGTAGAGATGGCAATTCTTAGGTAAGGTTTTATCAATGTTTGGCATGAGATGTGGCGTGACTAATATAAGATTGCAATGGGCACATTGTCGTTTGGAGAGGCGTTGAAGCCGGGAAGGACAACATAGCTCACTGCGTTCTTTGACAACTTGCTGGTTGTCGCGATTTACGGTAGGCACGCTGAAAGAACAGAAATATCCTCTTGTTTCCTAGTGGCCGTTATCAATTTTAATGAAGATACGAAATCGAATCGCGTTCACGAAGCCATTCAGTAGGAAACATACAAAAGGAGAATGTAGTCCCTAATATAGTTTAGCTATTCAGTTAAACAGCAGACTCGTGCACTGCAGTGTGATGGAACCAGTTGTCACGACTAACATCACCAAGAACACAATAAATAATAACAGTAGAACGAAAAGCAGATTGGACGCAAAAAGAGTATACAGAAGGGCGTTAAACTAATCGGCATGGAAAGAAAAGTAATAACTAGATGCCAGAAACCGAGTGGATAAACACCACGGATTTCGTGAATGCACTCGGTCCCATAGTCTTAAACCACTGATATGAAATAACCAGAGGCCCCATCCATGAACACGACACTCATCAGCCTGACCAGGTAGCTCAGTCAAATTAGTTTTGCCATTACGCCACGTTAACGACAGTGCATCTTGAGGTTCCCCCAAATTGGTTAAGTGACGGCGCATAATAACGCCGAGGAGCGCAGTCAACGAGAATACGGAGAACAAAACCTAGACACTGTAAGCGGTTAAGATGCAGCAGCCACTCGAGTGAGGTACCAGAAGGCTTGTTGCCAAAAACAAACTGGTGGACCACAGCATCACTCACCCGGTGTTTCCAACAAATGTGAGCAATACTGTGCAAGCACCGGTGGTTAAACACGGCTGTGTTTAATGTGCTCACTGCGAAATGATCAGGTATCTGATCCATATAAACACCGCACTTATCGCAGCGTCGTACATCTTACTTTTCACTGATAGGCTGATATCCCGCTTCTGGAAAGCCACACGGGGCTTGCTGATAGGCAAGGTAACGTCTTCAGTGATATGACCATTATAAGTGACAGAGCTACCAAGGTAAGCTAACCGATCCACCACCATTTGGTGATAGCTAATGATCGATAGGGTATTGGCCCAATCCTATAACAAGACCATTTACATGGAATTTGCAAAGCACAGACCGAAGCCTGCAATGCTACGTGTCAGTCTGTTCAGTAGTGCTTGCATAGTCACTGGTTCCGATCCAATGAGAGGTTTGTCGTACGTATACCCAAGGTATTTCAGTCGATCACAGGACAGAGCCTCTGGACCGGAGAAGTCTCAAAGAACGGAGTCACTTATGCTCATTGAGCAAGATAGATATATGGCCACACTAGTGAACGCTAGTTGTCGTGGGGAACTCAAAAGACAGGTACTCGTAGACCTATACACCGCCTCGGGATTTACAGAGGAGAATTGGGGATCCTTTCAAGCACACGTATCCCGGAGAGGCAGTGTCACAAGCTGTCTCTATCGTCAGAATCAAAGGCGGTTTTCAAGTCAGGGAAACCCACCAGAATCAGTCCGCTTTGATTGTATTTCTGCTCTAACACTTGACGAAGAGTAAATGTGTGGTCGATGCAACCACAACCAGGGAGGAAGCCAGCCTGGCTTACAATGACGGATCTCACGAGGACCAGTAAATCATCGGAGAAAGATACCTGTGAAAAGTTTATAGACAATGGAAATAAGGCTAATGTCTCGGGTATTTTCAGTCCTGCTTTTGATAGCGATAGCGACACCGTGAAACATCATACATAATCAGGTTCATTAATCAGCTCTGGTATCAGATAACTGGGGTGAGCACAGGACCAGAAAATACTAAGATTGTAGTCGCTGTTAAAGCAAGTGAGGAGGTTGCAAAGGATACTTGCCCAAAAGTGTCATTCATATTAGAAAACTGGTTCCGAACACATGCGTCAAAAATAGGGAATAAAACAAATTGTGGCCCAGGCAGAACGTACCAGGAGTGTCGAATAGGTTAAACAGATACGACTTTTCGGACATATTTCGGAGAACCAGTGTGACCGGCGTCGACTTGATGCTTAGACCACGCTGCACCTCCATGTGCAAAAAATCGGTGTACCTAAGCTGGAAAATCAAGTAAGAAAGAAGATAACACCGGTTAAAAAGATACGTGGAAGCAAACAGATATCGGATTACGAAAAAAAACCGAAGGGTTTGATAGTCTCCCAAAAGCAGATAAATGGAAAGCAAACGTTTCAGGTGGGAATTGATTGCAACATTTCGCCGACAAACCAATGCATTTCTATGCAAAGCTTGTTAGTCGTGTGATCTTGAGCAAACCGCTAGATGGTGGCAAATTGTTCGACAACGGTTGTGAGAAATGGGTTCATTGGACAACTCGTCATGGTAAGGTTAACGACCTGCAGTGTAAACGGGAAGTGTGTGAAACAAACTTATCCTCTGGAAAAGAGAAGAGCATTACTAATAGGCGAGTACCTCGAACAGGCGTTGCGAATCGATGTGACCAGCATCAATCACGTGAGGTACATGTAAGTTGTGAGGCTGCCCGCAATTATGTAAGGTCGGACCAGCAATCCGTGGATTACAAGCCAGACGCTCAAACCACTAGGCCGCTTAGCTAGCACACTTGACAAAGAGGTAGCTTGAATCACTTCAATAACAGGACGGGAACATCCCCCTTACCAGATTGGAGTATTATCCTAAGGTCAGCATCTCCAACTGTTTATAGAATATAACCCAAGGAAAAACGGTAAATTTTCTTTAAGCGTTTGTACACATAATCATGGGAAACATTCACAGAAATGTGACTAGAAGACTGGAAAAATTAGACACAATTAGGGAGGGAAAGTGTTAAGGGTTACAGGTTACCACTATCAACAACAAGTGGAATAGCCGGTCTTCGAAATGTAAGTTATATGGAACAACTGGTTCCACTGCCGGCCGACCGACCCAATTATCCACACAATAAGCTCGGTGGTAAAATACTATATATTAAGAGCACCAGGTACCCAGTGTCTACATTTTTACTACGTGGCAAGAAGAGGACAACGACAAGCTGACCTTTGGCTCCATGCGAAACAATGTCGACCGCAAATGTGGGAACTTATTGTCACGGTTTAGGCCATAAGAATAATACGAGACTATCACAACCAAACTACCAGACATTCCTTTTACCTAGCGACTGTGAATCACTGTTCACCTTCTGATATTTCAAGCTAGGGGAGTGCGTCTGGATCAAAGGCTGTTCAATTGTTAGGAAGCATTCAAAATGTTCAAAACGATTTGTATTACTATTGCTAGCCGGCTTGCTGAACAACCTCCCCGTGATGCCAGTTGGGTGGTTCGGGTATATCCCGTTCCGTCGAGTGGTTCGGCCGCAGTGTTCCAGGACATATTGGTTTTACGCTTGGCCAGCGTTCTCCCTATAAAAACCACAAATGTCTGCTTAACAACACTTAAACATGAGCGATGTGACTCCTAATTAAATAAAGTCACTGCCCGTTATCTTCCTCGAAGACACTGCATATCAGCAAGCAATGCTAGCGTAGGATATTGCGTATGACCTCGGGAGTTTCGCACCCTTGGTATGACTTTTGGTCATCCGAAAGGTGTGTGAGCTGAATGTTCAACCACCGGCTCTCAACAGATGTGAAACCCTTATTTCGTTTTGTTGCTTTGTATGATAAACCAGAGGCTCGAGGCGGTGGTCCCCTATGACCACCCAACTACTTCAGCCTAGGCAACCTGGTAATAGCTCGCCTACTGATGAACCATAGAACCACACAACTACGCCCACTCTCACTCCCCTGATGGTCCACTGTTTTGCTATCACGCCAACTTCACAAACGCACACCAGCAATATAACTATCCTTCCTTTATGTCATTCACCCCAAACGTTACTTGATTCCTCAATGGTGAACAACAGTACCTCCGCCAATTCAATCACATAGTGGTGTTTCGGTGCCGCTTTTCCTAATACTGGCAACCTAGAGACAGCAACACCGAAACACCTCCCCCTCGGATACGGTCCTTTGATCGGAATGACCGAAGTCTACTTCAAGGTGAATCGAAGTCTTACTATAAATGGCGTGTCACAATCCAACCACAAGGCGGATGCTCCAAATCCGACTTTCAACAACAGTCTTCGACAGAGAGCTGCCAGCTCCGAAGCCTGCCATCTTCGCTACTGCAACTTGGAATGCAGTTCAAAATGGTAACCTTTAAAGTGCGCTATAAATGTAGATCGGACAGTAAGCAGGACTTGCATACACTCTGGAGACCCTTGCAATCGATGTTTGCTGCTTGAGTGAAACACGACTTCAGAATTCCAACACAGTCTACTAGCTGTTGTCACCAGTGCAACCACATACCAGCTTCTATCTTCGCCTTTCTGGTGACGCTGTCTGCCGCATTTGTGCAAGCTGGTGTTGGGATCACCCTCAGCGGTAGACTTGAGGCCGGTCTCCTTGACTGGATTCCAATCAACAGTCGCCCTTGCGCTATAAGGCTCCATGGCTCTTACAAAGTTAGCAGACGTCGAGCCGACAAGTGTACTCTTTTCGTGATCTCCGCTTACTTGCCCAGACTGCAGCTTGGATACAGTCAAGGACCAGTTGTATCAACATCTTCATGAGCCGCTTCTAAGGGCGCCTACACAGACATCATCATTATGGCAGGAGGCTCCAACTCACGTACCGGTCGGCTGCTGCCATGTGAACGCCACCTCAGGGGATTGCATGGATATGATGATGTTTGATCTGACAATGAAGAAAGTACGCTCAGCCTATGTAATAACAACCAACATTTCCTCTCCAGTACGAGGTTTCATCAACCGAGATCACACTATGCCATCTGGTATCCTCCACCGTCAACGTACCGCTGGTCCTAAATTGACCACACAGCCATAAGTCGCAGGTGACGCGGCAGCGTACGCGATCGCAGATCATTTTGGTCAACTTAAATTGAAACGGATCATGCACTGATGTGTGCGACAGTCTGCATGCGTTTAAGTGACTCACGATCAAACAAACCCAACTGAACACCCACAAGTTGGAGGACCCAACGGTAAAAACGAAGTATTGAAAGAAGTTTCGTGAAAATCTCGTTCTCTCCATTACTATGGATGTCGATCAACACTGGCTAAGTCTACAACAAGGCAGGATGTCAGTCGATTTGTTTAGTTGCGGCCACATCTGCTGCACAGTCAAAAGCTGGATCTCGGTAAAAGCCCCGGAACTGCTAAAACACCGAAGAGCTGTGTGCGCCAATGAGGTGCACAATGAACTCTGTCGGTCTATCTCCAAACATCTGAAATCAAGCCATCGTCAAAATGAGCTGCTGAGATGAAAGCCGCTGCATTGGCAGGAAACTCCCGCGGATTATGCTACCTCATCAAGGCCATTGGTTGTAATTCACGCGCTATCAGTCAGAGGACCTGTGTCAGACGGTACGAAAATCACCTACCTACACAGGCGTTTAGGTCGCTGGGCAGAGCACTTTGCTTTCTAATTTAACTATTCAGCACAATCAATTGTGATACCGTTTCTCTCGAGTGATACTTGGCCTGTCTCTTCAGATCCTCCTACTGAAACAGTGATCAAAGTACGATCCAATCTTTGAAACGTCATACAACTTTCGGCCCTGACAGCCTACCACTTGTTCTAGTCAAAGATAGCGAGATCACATCACTGTTCACGAAGGTTCGGATTGACAAGAAAGTTTCAATTGGATGGGGAGAATCGGTCATTGTCCCAATTCACAAGAAAGACTGCTGCGAAGATAGCGACAATTACTGCGGAGCTTCGCTGATCTCTGTTGCGCCTCAAAGCTTCGTGTTCATCCTACTCCGCGGGCTTTCAGGGACTAAAGAGAGCGCTTCCCGAGAGGGGCAAGTTGGTTTTTGTATAGGTCGAGATTGCATCGACCAGATCTTCACACTACGCCAACTTCTTGAATTATGTCACATCAACCGATGGCCAACATTCGTAGTGCTCTTGCACATCCGAGCGGCATTTGACGCTGTAGATAGATCTGTGCTGTGGAACTGTCTACTAAGGAAAGGTATGCCCGACAACTGTGTAACCAACCTGAAGAAACTTTAGTTACATGTTGGTCAAAGTCATGACTTACGGCAGGTTTCCCACTTCGTTTGCTGTCACCGGAAGCGTTCACCGAGATTGCATTATTTCACCTTTCCTCTTCAATTTTTGCCATTGAAGATGTCGTCCAAGCAGCATTGGAAGGCGTCCAAAACTGCGGTATTGAACTTCTCTCGGGGGACAGAGTCGCGAATTTAGACTACGTCGAGTATATCGCTTTTATTGGGGATGATTCATAAGCCTCCCGGAGCGCTTTTAACTACTTAGCGATGGAGACGTCCAATTATGGCCTGCATTTCACTCCAGACAGGTGCAAAATACTACTCCGGGATCGACAGATGCACGCGCCCGCCCACAACATTGCTGGCGATGTTCTGGAACAAGTCTCTTGCTTAACGCACCTAGGGAGTTGCATCACGGCTGGTGGCGGTGTTGCAGATGAGGTCTTACAACGGATCGCATAGGCCCGCCTTGCATTCATCAGACTGAGACACCTATGGCGTCGTCGTATGTCCGTCTCAAACTGAAGGGGAGGGTGTACATTGCCTTTGTCCGTGTGGTCCATTTGTATGGTTGTGAGACGTGGCCTATTCACTCAGAAGACATGAAATGATCGTCAATTTTGAAAATCGTTGTCCGTGTAGGATTGTTTGTGTATGGTGGCAGCATCATGTATGCAACACAGAAAATCCAAGAACCAATGCCTGAAGCAAACAGTTCATGCCTCCAAAACGTTATTTTCCGACACCGCATGCGTTAGCTCGGCCACGTATTGCGCATGCCAGCCTAGAGGTAATGAGCTTGTCTCGTAATCTGGCGGCGCGTGTTCGAATCCGCGTAAGAGTGGGCGTCCTCGCAGTATACTCAGCCCGCGTACGACTGGTGGTGGTCGCACGGCGGCGAAGCGCCGTTACGGCGTACAGCTGACACACTATTATTATCCATGCCAGCCTATTGCATTCCTTGTCGAACGTTAGTTGCGCTACCCGGAAGCAATTCGAAAAAGTGTCGCGGGGGACAACCGTCGGACCGGGATGTCTTCCAGGATGGGACCACGCGACTCGGACTGGTTGAAGACGCTGTACGTTATGGTGCGCAATAAACATCAGTGGCAATATTGTTGCTTAACAGTATCATCTATTAGTTAATGTGTAATCGGAGATAAAAACTTAAAGACAATAGAAATTCAAAACAGCGTGTGTAAAAAAGTTTTTTTCTGCTATTGTTTTTTATTTTTTCCCTTTCTTGCCATGGTTCTGATGGCACATTGTCCGTAAACAGATGGTGAACATATATATCTCTAGTGAATAATTTCCATGAAGCCAATAGTTCACAATTACGCGAAGAACATTCTGTTCGATAAATCTCATTAGGCGTTTACAATAGTAAAGGAAAATTAGAAAACTGAATGGCTAATGAAATCTAGGTCCAAATTAGAAAAGAAACATGAAATCTATAGTATCTATTGGATTTGCGTGGCCCGATAATCATGGTAGTTGGGTTAGTTAGGATTGTTCTAACCATAACACCACGCAAAGAAAAAGCATTAGTTGCTTGACATTCCTGAGGGTCTTCTGACACTTGGACTGTTGCAGCTGCATGGGAACTGGGACTGTTGCTGTTCCTTATTTGGAGCTCGGAACTGTTGCTGTAAGCCATTGCTACTTTTTGCGTCAACTAAAGGCTCTTCGGTATTCTGGCACCTGCCGACTAGAGAAGAAAATGTCGAGTGACTGTCTTGATCATTCCTAGTTGCCTGAGAACCCCGGCTGAAAATACAATTGTCGAGTGACGGTCTAGATCATGATTAGGTGCCGAATCTCCACTTGGCTGAACAGATAAGTGTCTGGTGAAATCCAGATCATGTGTAACCGAGCGGCTCCAAATTGCTCACGTACTTATGAAAAAATTACATTCCAAGTCATTGTAAAAACACCGTATTAATCCAGCCCATCTCCGTCTTTCTCTCATGAACTATTTATTTTGACCACATATTGTGCCTGTACATTCTGCCTCCTGAGTGCTCCCTACAAGTTCTGCCAGAGGCCTTTGTCTTCTGATTTGGATAGTGGCTGTATCGTGACCAGAGTGGCTGCATCGGTTATCCGTACTATAAGCGGTAACACAACACGCTTGGAAATGCAATCAAAAAACGACATGATAGCGACAAGCGTCCACAGCTCAATCAAATTGAGAGATGTTGCATGCATATTGCTAGTCTATGACTAATGCTGTTTTCAGAGTATCCGTATTTCATACAAATGAAGCACTTAAACCACGCTACGCCAGCTGCACCACTGACTTGAATTTAAGAGCTAAATACAAATCGAAAGAAGGAACTCCAGTGGAAACAAACACCTTAATAGAATGACGACAGATGAAACTAAGAAGGAACTAACGTCTTTGTCTCCCTTGGCAGATATGTAAGGATGCGTCTGTTCGATCAAGCAGTCCATGAAAGAAGTCTGAAAAGAAGAGCAAATATAAAGAAAGCTTAATTGGTACCTTTCCGTGGTGAAGATGGCCGCATAAAACAATGTTGCGGATTAATTCGGGACAATCCATGAGGTCTGCCAGAAACTCTGGGTGGTAATCGGTAACAGGAATATCGGCTTCAGTGTAAGCAAACTTATTGTGCTTTATTGGTTCGATGAGGGGTTGAGTTAGCGGTTGAGCATCCTCTTCTTGGACCAATGTTTCCACTTCGGGACCATAGACTTCTAGTGCACTGGGATAATATTTCTTGTCTTCATGAAGAACAACCTGAAAAATAACGTATTTAATACAAGCTTTATCTAGGAAAATTGTAGGTAAAGAGGACGCTCAACTCAATCGGACAGAGCAATGTAACTCCCAAACTAAAGCAGTCAGCTATCAGTAACATGAGGTTTAAGGAACAAAATGGCGAATCTAAATTATCGTAGTTCTGGACACTGAAAGCATGTATGGATCAAACAGTAGTAATATTTTGAGCGATATAAGGAAAAATGTGATGTAAAAAATCCTGCCGCAGGGAATATAGGCGAGAGAAAATAAAAAAAACTTAACGCTAGCCGGTAATCGGTACACGAAGTCTAAAGATTGGGATAAAAATGTTCCACCGAAAAGCAAGGTGATGGTTGTCGTCACGGCATCTGAGCACCTAACTACATCTGCTAAGTCGCAAAAGTAGTCGGCCAATGGAAGAAAGATATTTCAATAAGCGAGAATCAAAGAAAACCGCATATTTATTACCGTTACAACCGGGGTACAGAGCGCATCGCACAATTGTAAGCGGAGGAATAAGGATGGGCCCTATTGTATAATCGTGGGTAGACGAGAGTGGCGACCAGAGGCGCCTCAATGGATGAAGATACAAGAAAAATGCAGAATGAGACAAAACCACGAAGCTGGTCGAGCACTACTCAAAAATCCTTTACGGTTGGTGGATTTAACAAGTAATTATTTACAACCCTATCAGAAATGACTTCCCGATTGGTTCCAGAAATACGCCGGGTTATCGGAAAGGCGCTATTATCGATAAGCCGAAGGAATTTCAGGTCAAGTTAGGTGGCAAACAGTAGAAAATAAGCCGATTTCAAGGACAAGTACTCAAATACCCTATATAAGTATGAAGAGGAAAAATGCATCAGCAATACGCCGATGCGCAGTACCGACACTTCGCTGACGCGCAACCACCAGCAGCCGCGTGTTGGCTAGGGATACTGCGAGGGTCGTCCGGTTCCATATGTAGACTCGAACTCGCAACCTCAGACTACAAGGCAGGCCACGGAGCGGCAGTATGAAGCGGAACTGAGTGCCGAAAGAATGAAACTACCGATTGTCAAGCAACGTAGCAAAGAATCCTAATAATGTAAGCTAAACAGGCGGGTTTTAAAGCAAACACGATGCTGATGATGGGTTTTTTAAGTACTAGAGTCCGTATGAAGGAATCGTGGGTGACCAGACTGGTAGCTGATGTGAGGAAGAAGGTAGTATCCACAGTATGCCGGCACATCGCACAGACGCTTAGCTGTCACGCTAAATGGAAATGGATGGACAAAAAGATTTACAACACAAACGCCACTGTTGTCGACTGCTCGCCATGTCAACTAACCTATCCAACCAAACGTGTACATCATCCTTCGGTCACCAACGCGGCAGTCGGGCAACACCAACTGACGCCGCCTTCGATACTGAGAGAATACTGAGAATACTGTATTTTGGAGCAAGTAGAAAATAATTCTGTACAACTCCATCGGGTGATAATCAAAAACAGTTAAAAAAATAAATAAACACGTCCGGTGGTTATCCTGAGATGGTTCAGCAACTCCTTTTGTAGCACACAAAATGCTTGTTCACACAGTGAGTCACAAGTGGGTGATATCGTTGTCAAGTGGCAACCGTTCTCTAAAACGTATGTTAGCGAAGTGTAAATCCAACAAAGATTTGAATTTCTGCACAGATTCGGCCTCGACGACGTGTTCTGGCAAACTGTTCCAGGCGTGCACAACCCTCCGCTCGAAACACAGGGGGTGTGGGATTTTCTTCAGATCAGGTACCACGAGTTTGTACCTGTGCCCACGTGTGGTGCATGGTACTCGCAAGTGGAGTAACAACCTCAGCATGGGGAAATGACCGAGATGTAAAATACGGTAGGTCATGATAAGATCCACTCGAACACGGCGATACGACAAGGTGTAGAGCCCAAGTTTCATGCACCGGTTTTCATACGATAAGCCTCTCAAGCTGGAGATCAACTTGGTGGCGACGTGTTGTACTCCTTCGATCTTTTGCGATTCGCCGCGAGTGATCGGACAGTATGCAGACGAGCCGTACTCTACCATTGGTCTGACGATGGAAGAGAAGAGGCGAGTGGCGACGTCCTCAGACCAAGTGCAAAAGCTGCGCTTCAGCGCCCAGAGCATGCGCATTCCGTTTCGATCCAGTTTGTTGGTGTTGTCGACGGACTTCAAGTCGCAGCGTGAGAGTACACCTAGGTCTTTCACGGAAGGTGTGGGATGCAGTGGTTGGCCGTCAAGGGTGTACGTTCGGTCGTGAACAGCCTTCCCGAGATTCATGAATAGGGACTTTGCCGGGTTGACCGGTAGGTGGACTTCAGCAGACCATATTGCGAGGCGGTCGAGGTTGGAGAATGTCACAGTCATCGAGAGTATCAATTTCTCGCCAAATTTTGAGGTCATCCGCAAACGGTGCACACGGCGACCAAGTCATCGCTTGGCATCCTCTCCCCTTCTTGCAACCGCAACCCCGGCGTGCAAACAACGCACACACACACTATACACGTTAGCTAGAGATGGAAAACACCTCAGCTACTGTGCCGCAATACCTAAAAGAAAAAGGGGAATAAAATGCAACAGGTGCAAGCCAGCTGAGATACCGGTAACGGATGGGCATCGTTCCAGTAAGCTACCAGCCAGCTACTATGAAGTAGAAAAAAATAATTTACTATGCGAAATTACAAAATGAGATCGTGGTTGGAGGGGGGCGCTAAGAGGGATGGGGTGGGATAAAGAAACTCACAGCATGAACGCCACTGAGATCGGTTCCTAGCCATATCAACAAGTGTATCCATCCAAACGTGTTCATCGTCTTTCGGACCCCAACCAGAGAGCTGAGACGCTTCAACTAAGGCTACCTTCGAAGTGAGGGTCTTCATTCCTCTCGAGTAAGTCATCGCTTGGCCACCCCTCCTCTCCTTCCATCCACACCCCCAGCGCGCAAACAACGCACGCCGCGGGAGTCGGTGGGCTGGCATGCGTAACACGTGGCCCGGCCATCGGAGCCTGATGCGTGAAATAACAGTGCTGAGCGGTTTATTTCTTTTTCCTGCGCCGTAAACAAGGCGTCGAACATGCTCCTTGCTCACGCGATGTTCCCAGCAGATGCGAGCTAAATTGCGAAGGCCCCGGTGGTCGAACGTAACTAACCTCTTTATGTCCGCTGATCTAAGGGACCAGGTTTCACAACCGTACAGTAGGGTCGAACGTACCGATGCATTGTACACTATACCCTTCAGGGCGAGAGTGATGTCGCGCCGGCGTCATAAGTGGCGAAAGTTAGCAAAAGCGCCTCGAGTTTTTGCTATACGGTTCGTGATCTCCTCTTCAATCCCACGGGCGCTGATACAACTCAACCAAGTCATCGCTTGGCCACCCCTCCCCTTCTTCCAACCGCAGCATCGGCGCGCAAACAACGCACGTCGCGCGAGTCAGTGGGCTGGCATGCGCAACACGTGGCCCAGCCACCGGAGCCTGGTGCGTGATATAACGGAGCTGAGCGGTTCACTCGCTCATCCGGGTGAAATAATGGGCCAGGTTTCAAAACCGTACAGCAGAGTCGAAGGTACAGCTGCATTGTACACTCTACCCTTCAAGAAGTGTGATGTCGCGCCGGCGCCACAGGTGGAGGACGTTAGCAAAAGTGACTCGTGCTTTTGCTATACGGTCTGTGTGATTATCCTCTGCGACGCCAGAGTGCGCATGCAGGATAGTGTCGAGGTGCCCAAGCCTACACAGGAGAAAGACTAGGGCCCACAACCAACGTCCATGGTTCAAAAACCTGACCGCAAGTTAGAGGGTATGACAGCGGGCTACAAAGAGTCGGTTTTATTCAATAAGGAGCCACCCTTACTCCGAATCACAAGCTGGAAGGCCAGGAGACTGTCTGGTTTTTAATCACAGGCAAATCTGGTATTAGTGACTTTGAAGATGACAGAGCGTCATCGAACAAAGTGCAATGGATCGCTGGGACACAAACATACTCTATGAGGACACGCTGGTGTCGGACGACACCAGCAATGCTTCGCAGACAACGAGGATCAAAAACTTAGAGCCGCAGGTCCTCAGACCGGAGGGGCCAAGTCTCGCTTCCATAAAGTAGGACGGCCCTCACTGTGGCCTTGTATACACGGCCTTTCAGACGGAGCGAAATCCCCTTCTGATGCCAAAGATGTCGCAGATTCAAAAACGCAGTTCTAGCTTTCGCAATACACGAACTGACTTCAGCTGCTATGCGGTCGTCGTAGTTGGTAAAGCTGCCAAGATAGTTGAAGTGATAAACTACCTCGATTTCCTTGCCACCAAGGGTCAAAAAGTCATCAAGTGGCTGGGGGTCTTGTAACAGCAATTTGCATTTAAATGGCGCGAAACGCATGCTAAATGATGGGACCACTCTAGAGAGGTTATCTATAATTTATTGTGCCACCCCAACGTCATTAAAAAGCAGGATAATATGATCTGCATAATCAAGATGAACTAGCTTTACACCCGGCAGCACCTAAACGCCAGCATCGTGAGGCTCCGCAAGGGAACACTCCATGATAGAGTGCAAGAAGAAGTTGAACAAAAATGGGGAAATTGGGCAACCCTGATGAACGCCAGTTGTTGTCAGAAAGGCATACGACAAATCCTCGTAGACCCAAACGCGGCCTGTCCTGCTCGTGTATAGAACACGTAAAATGTTTACATATTTCTTTGGAACACCTTTCCGCGCAAGTATTTCGAACAGAATGTATCGGTCGACTCCGTCGGATGCAGTCCTGTAGTCGAGGAACACAGGTATTGTCGACCCGAGGTACATATGGCGTTGCTCCAGTACCTGCTGCAGAGTGAATATGTGGTTTATACAACGACGTCCAGGGCGGAAGCCCGCCTGATCTTCCTTAATCCGTGATTCCCGCTCCGAATTGGGGTCACGAAAGAGAATCGGCGAGTAATTTTTTACCACCGACTTTAGGCTAATACCCCTGTGAATAGAACAGT